TTGCAGAATTTACAGAAATCCTTTCTGAAGTTTAATCTTATGTCTTGCCCCAACTCTTCACCTTTCTTTTTCTGCCCGCCTCTCCTCTGCTGGAGGATGCCTGTGCTGCATGTGTTTGCCGGTTCTCAGTGCCATTTTGTCGTCTAATCTGGGCAACCCATCTAAGGGCCATCTACATACTTAACAAAGAGAGTAGAAGGGTGCCTGCCACCTTCACGGGTTTTGACTGAGATGGCCTCTGGAGCTTGGCAGTGTCCTGTGAGGCTGGGGAACTGGGTCCAGGCAGGACTGGGGAAAAGAAGGCGTCAGAGCCTAATGGCAGCCCTGTGGGAAGGCCTAGTGGCTGACAGGCAAGCAGCTTATGAGACGGGATTTCATGGGGGGCCTGTCTGACCTGGTGTGGGTGCAAGAAGCCTGGCCTCTGTATCAAGGCTCAAGCAGAGAAGCAGAACCAGGCGGAGATACATAGAAAGAGATTTTCTGCAAGGAATTGGCTTAAACGATTGTGGGGCCAGGTTAGGCAGATCTGAAATCCATGAGCCAGGCTGGCAGGAAGGGCAGCTTGGAAGCTGGGCACGGGGTACAGCTGCCGTCCACAGGCAGAATGTGTTCATCTTCCTCAAGGAAGCCTCAGACTCTCTTTTTAAGGCCTTGCAACTGATTAGGCCAGGCCCACCTAGGTTATCCAGGATAGTCTACCTTACTTAAAATTAACTGACTATGGACTTCAATTATAGCTATAAAATACCTTGACAGCAACACCTAAATTTCTGTTGATTTAATGCCTGAGAACTGTAGCCTAGCAGCGTTGACACTGCAAACTGAAGCCCACTCCCTCCTTTCAAGGAGTGAGTATTGGGCCCACTAATGACCTCTAGGCGTCAGTGCCTCACTTCCCTCTGGTCTTCCTCCCCTGTCACCTGAAGTGACTGATCTGGGCAGCACTACTTTCTCTTCCTCCAAGAAATTAGTAAGAATCTGAAATCTTCTGAAAAGCAAATCTTCCCAAAGTTACAGCCCCCTAAAAGATCTCCAAGCCCAATACCACATTTCCAACAGAATCTGCAGAGGGGCCTTGGGGCTACTCCTGCACCCTACATGCTCAGACTGTTGTGGTCTTGATCCTTATTTTTTTTTAACAGGCCAGATGTCTCAATTAAATCTTAATCGTGTGCTATTTAATTCTCATAGCCTTCAGTAATGTCTCTGCTTATCGACAAAGTGTATCATGCTTATAAGAATAGTTTTTAAGCCTTCTCCATTAAGGTGTTAAGGGAAAGGTAATTTTAACAATGGAAATTTTTGTGGTGGTTTTCTTGGATTCACTTAGTTCTGTTTTTTCATTGATGAATTGTTTCTAGGTCTAAGAGAATCTCCATGAAATAATATGAGAAAAGAGTGTACACTGTCATTGTAGGCTACTTCTCTTTTTCAGTCTTTTTAGAACAGACCTCAGTCCTACCCTGAAATTCGCCAGATCAGATGAATAATAAAGAGGTCAAGTGAGATAAAAAAGTGACTTGCCAATAATTATGTTATTATATATTGCAATGATGCATAATATTATTACCTATAAAAGCTAACATATAGCACTTACTGTATTCAGGCACTCTAAGCTTGTTGAATGCTTACAACAGCCCTTTTTCAGATGACTAAACTGAGGCACAGAACTCCTAGGTGACTGAAGCAAGATCACAAGCATATAAGTGCTAGGAACAGGATTTAAATCCAGACCATTTGGCTAGCACTGTGTGCTAGACACTTGAGATATTTTTATGTTTGAATCTATGATACCTCACCTAAGATGATAATTTTTTGTGACCATTAATTGTTTTACATAATGGTAGGGGGTGCTGCCCATAATTAAAAATCTACTAAGATGACTTGAGGTTGACCCCATTGGCAAAGAAAGTGGCTCTAACAAACGTTGGGACACGGTATATAGCCTGGACCTTCCACAGGGGCTGCTGACCAGCTGGCAGCTCAGAGCTGTGGACACCTGCCTGTGGATAACCTATCCTACACAACCCAGGTCCTTAGCGGGTGGCTGGGGACACCCTTCCCTGCTGGTGGCCGGCTTCGCCGCCTTTCAGGATGAAGGCCAGTGGCCCTGGCCAGGTGGCTCCAAGCATCTCCAAACTGTGTGAGGCATTAGCCCAACTGCTCCTGTTTGCAGAGCTGGGAGCAGGCCCTTCCTGGGCAGAAAGGATGCAGTCCCCATCCCCTCCTGCTGGATATGGGGACGTAATTTTGTGTTCTGACATATTTCTTCCTCTCTTCCACTTCAGAAAAACTGATTTTTCATCATCCAAAAAGAACATGTGATTAATGGCAAGCTTAAAGTGCCTGCAGTTCTGTGATAATTGCCTTTTTAAAAAAAAAAATCTTTATAGCTACCTTCAGAACGTAGTTGATTTCAGTCAGTTTGAAATAAATTTCTGATGAGTCAAGGCAAAAGGTCATTATCAGCAAGTGTCATACCTGTGTCCTTTCATCAGGTCGCTGTGTTTTTCCATTGCCCCAGCAGGAATGTTGAAACACCATAAAGCTGCTGGAGTACTCTACATTTTCCTACCTCATGAAATAAGTAAAATCTCCGCTGGGATTCCTAGCAAAGCAAAAGGAGTGGAGAGGTCAGGAAATGATTTTATTTATTCAGCTCTCATAGATATGTGTCTGGGAGGCAAAAACATTGTTCCTGCTTTGGGTGATGCTTTTGGTTTGGGGGAAATATAGTTAGCCAGTGCTTCTCAGCAAGTCATCTGGGGACCTTGTTAAAATTCAGGTTCTGATTCTGTAGATCTGGGTGAGGCCTGAGCTCTGCATCTTTAACGAGTCCCAGGTGAGACGGATGCTTCAGGTCCAAGTTGCAAGGAGTTAGAGGCTCTCTCAGACCACTTAAAGCACGGAGCAAGAGCAGCCCGCAGAGGATAAACTACAACAATGGAATCGTTGCCACATCGACAGGAATGCTAATATGTACAAGTCACAGCATCTCATTTGCAGCCAGGAGAGAGTGAGAAGTCAGACTGGAATCATTTGCCCACAGCGATGATTTTCCATCCGCAAACCTGGACCCCACCCCCTTCGGAAAGTCACCTCCTGATCCTGGTGTGATGGCATATAATGTAGATTAGTGTATGGGATTAGATGTCCCCAAGGGGGTCTGTGGGGAAAGAGCTGTAGTTGCAGTTATTTTCATACTTACTGTATCACAAAATTAAAGAGAAAGGCATTGACAAGAAGAACTGCAAGCTATGGGCAGCGCCTGTTGTGGCATCAAACCCGTTGGCCTGAAGCATGATGCTACTTTGACATTATCTCTCTGACTTTGTTTAAAGGTTACCCGAGTGGCCAAGTGCTAAATTTTCTCATGTGGTACTAGCCTGTGCCAAGCCGTAGACACTGAACTTACCCCTCCTAATGCCGATGCCTGGTTTCCATAGCAGCAAATCGACTGCGTGCTTAACCTACAACTGGTAGTCTTTTCTGAAAAGACCCTGGTCTCTTTATTATTTCTAAGAGCCTCAGTGCCAGACCTGGGGTGAATCCCGGAGCCCTGCTGAGAAGTAATCTTTTAAGTGAACTTGGCCTGTGCATTGAGAGGAACAACATCACCATCAATAGCCAAGAGAGGGCTGTTCAATCCTGTTTTCTTATTTAAATGGCAACCATTCTTTATAAGCTATATTCAGTGAGGCCAGATTTGTCTGTCACTCATTGATAGCTAGGATGATGATCTGTTTCTTTGTGGCAGAGCAGAATTGGAAATCCTGATGACTTTAGTATTTTTTTCTACAGATGAGCTGGTGTACGTATTGGCCCTTGTTAGGGTTGATTCTATCCTTGTAGCCAAGTGTAGTTTGTCTCTTCTCCCCTCTAATCTGCTCCACTTCTTACTGCCTTTCAACCTCCTGCCTCTGCTCTGGTCTCTAGACAATAAACAAATTTACATGCTCTATAGGAGAAAAAATATATAAAACCCAGCTGTCTTTTCTAGTATTAAGGATCTTCATTATAGGAGTTCATGTTGTAGATCTGTACTGGTTGTCACTTGGGTGCTACAGTTTAAGGTTTTGTGACCATCTTCTTTACTCAAGGTCAAATTAAGAGCATAGATTCTTACAAACAGGAGGGACACCTTCTCCTGAATGGTGTCCTTCCATTCAGAAGACATTTAGTAGAAAGCAGACACTGGTTTTGTTTTGGAGCTATGAAGATGAATCAGACATATCCCTGCTGGAGGAGCTATCTACCTAATAGGCACAGAGAAAGTGACACATGACATACCCATGTCACAGTGGACAGGAGAATTCCAGTATGGAGAAGCTTCCGGTGAGATCATTAGAACATGATCCGAGTCTGCTTTATTGTTTGGGTTTGTCTTGTTCATATAGATAAGCTGCAATGCGACTCAGTCTGTCTCGGTGTCACCATGTGAGTAGGTTGCCTGGAACTCAGTCCCAAGGAGCACTGGAGTCGGGACTGGAAGGGATGGTGCAGGTGGGTGGGGGTAAGCAGATGGATGTTCCTGGTGCTCTGAGCAGAGGTTGAGAGGGTCCCTAGTACAGCATCATAGACAGAAGGATTGGCATCAGGTGGACAAGAGAGGGGATCCACCCTGCAGGAAGCTCAGTGGCATCCAGAGTGCAGAGGATGTAGGAACAACATGTGATGTAAATACTCTATCCCCATACAAAGCAGCATTTCCTAGTTTCTGGACTAGACAACTCTGAATTACAACATACTTTTGCCACCCACTTGTTCTGTGACCTTGAGCAATGATCTCACTCCCTTCCCAATCTGCTGCAGCTCATCTAACTGTAAAAACGAGGATCTCAACATTGACATATCATATAGGGCTCTTGTGGTAACCAGCAAATGAAAACGATTTTACAGGTCTTGGTTGGTTGGAAGGTACACTGACCCTGGTGCACCCGTGGCTTCCCCATGCCATGGGGCAGGATGCTCATGTCTCTCTTGTCCCTTCTGTATTCCAGGAATAGAGCTGTGCCCCCCTGGAAAACGGTTCATGATCACGATGGTGGCGAGCTTCGTGGCCATGGCGGGGCAATTCCTCATGCCCGGGCTGGCCGCCCTGTGCCGGGACTGGCAGGTCCTGCAGGCCCTCATCATCTGCCCCTTCCTGCTCATGCTGCTCTATTGGTCGTGAGTATCCTCCCCGAAGGCTCTGCCACCTGATGCATCTGCTAGCGCTTTCTGAAGGCTGCGTCCCGCCACCACCAGGGAGGAGATAGGTGAAGCATAGGACTTAGGCCCCACTCTGCCCAAACGTCCTGCTAGTTTCCGCGTGTGTTTTCTGAGGGAATGTTCCTTTTATTTTTTTTTTTAATTTCGTTTTTTAAGTGTCATGTCTTGGGAAATGTGCAAACATACACAAAGTGTATGGAAGAGTGGCATGAGGCCCTAGGTGCCCTTCACCAGCTCCAGTAATCTGCCCTCCATCAGTCTGGTTTGACACCTGCTAGCTGGGTTATTTTGATGTGATCTTCATGAATAGATTTGCAAAGGGAGGATCCTTGTGTTGGGAGGGGACAATAGGGAGATATTCCAGGAGTGACTTAGAAAAGTCCCCTTATCACCTGTAGATGAGGGATGGGCAGACTCTAGCCCCAGGGCCCACTACACTGGCCGAGTAGCGGCAGCAGGGGCTATGTGGCCTACAAAGCCGAAAATATTTATCTCTTTGCTCTCTATTTTCTGTAAGTACTTAATATTTACAGAAAAAAAGTTTGTCCACCCCTGCTCTAGACAAGTTCAACAGGACTTTTAAGGCTATATGTGACTTTTAGTTTTTGGCTTGTTAACTTCAGGGGGGAAAAAAAACAGCTAAGCACACTTAGTCTGGGGGTATGATCTGGGCAACTAGATGTTTTAAAACAACCAGGGGATTCATATGTAGCCAAGATTGAAAACCACCAGACTGAAATCAGGCTGCTTCCTATAGTTCTTTCCCACTTTTAGTTTGATACATAGGTTCAACCATCTGATATAATGCTCTCCATCAATTGTTTCTTAATGATTTTAGCAGCCATTGATGATCATGAGAAGTTGCAAAATGGTGATTTTCTAATTCTGTTGTTCTTTCTGCCTTTATCAGTGATGATGAAAGAACTTTTTCTTACCAATTTTTTAGTTACCGTGAAATATAGTCTGTATAGGAATGGCTGTGTGGACAATTACTTCTTTCCTTTAATTTACCACTTTTTACAATAATGAATAATAAGCTAGTGTCATAGTAAGTTTCAGAGGCAATCAATGACATGCTTATTTAGCAGTTATTATGAACCCATGAGTTTTTATATTTTATGTGTTTCCATCCATTGTAGTTATAATTATATTCAAATTGTTTCATATTTGGGCAGTGAGTGCCCCCTTTAATATGCCTCCTGTGTCATTTTGAATACTGGAATCAAATGAATCCAGTATTTCTTTGATAATTTTCTTACCTCTAGGCCCCCCAAATGTACCAGCCCATGTTGTATATTTTCTGTCTCATACCTGGAATTAGTCATTTCTTAGATAGAGAGATGTTTAAAAGAAAAATAAGTGTTCTACCCTTTTTATAAATATCTCTTAAATTCCCCTTCCCTCACATTCCCTCTCTATGCCAACACCCTTTTCCCCCAAGGAAGTACAATCGACACAAGTTCAAGATACTGTCATGTAGATTATACATACTGTACTGTATTTCTATTATTTAGTCACTAACAAAAACCAAATGTCTGGCAAGAAGCCAGTCATTTGTGTCTCAGCTGGGTTCACTGGAGCAGAGAGGGTATTCATGGGGCTTGCTTTTCTAAGGTGCCAGGGAGGGAAAGAAAGCACCCACCTTTAACTTAGTCATGCTGGCTTTCACCATTACACAGGTAGTCGATCCCCCAGCAGAGAAATCGCGATGGAACGTGAGCAAGAGTGCACGTGCTCTTTCCTCAAGGGCCTGGCTCTTGCTTACTGCGCCATGAGAACCTCAGCAGCAGCGGGGAGCCAGCAATAACGGATGAGAAAAAGGCCATCCACTCGGGAGGCCCCTCATCACAGCAGCTGCCAAAACTGCGCTCTCCTCCCAGCACCTCTGCCGCCTTCTCCGGCTGAGCTGGGACATCACAGCCCCTCCCATGGAGCCCTGCATGTTTTAGGACATCCCGTTCCCTCCAGCAAGGTCTTAACAGGCAAGGAATGAAATCGCTTCCCCAGAGCAGGACAGAGTGGGCGGCTCTTCCACTTAGCATCCAGGGAAACCCTTCCTTTTCCTTCCCTTGCCGCATCCAGAGTTGGGCTGTGCTTGTTTTGGATTTGGGGGTATTTATTTATTTAACAAATATTTATATAGTGTTTACTCTGTGCCCGGTGCAAAATGCAAGCGCTAGACAAAGAGTAGATCACTCAGTCTTCGTATTTCATCTCCCCATTGTACAGATGAGAAAAGCGAGGTCACCCAGCTTGCCCTGAAACCCAGGCCCACTCTTACCACATGCCGTGCTGCCTCCCGCCTTCCCTCAGCTTCCGGCTCTTGTCCCTAGCCACTAGGACACTAGAGGAGCCCTGTAGCCCTAGAGGACCCTTTGTGCCTTCCGGCACCCTCCCACTCACCTCCTCTCGCTTTATGGCCTCCACAGCACCCAAGAGCACCCGTGCTGTCTGTCGGCCCCGGGGGGGACTGGAACCTGGAGGGAGGGCACAGCCTCTTGGAGATTCACACTCCCGTAAGGGCAGACAGGATTGTCTCATCACCTCCAGGCTATGGGTCTCAGCCCAGGCTCTGCTCCCACCTGTCCCAGGTAGGAGGACACCTGATAGGGAGAAAGGGCAGAGAAGGGTTTCCTGGAGCAGGTCTGGGAGCCTGGCCTGTGTGGGAAAGGACTGGGGGGTTATTTGTCTTATTTTTTTATTTAAATTTTAAAAATAAATCAGGGTTTAATGACAGACAAGGTAAGATGTTCATTTATTTAAACACGTTGTGAAACCTAAGGAGAAAAAATTCTTTGAAACACACAATTGTAAAAACAACTTTATGGTGAAAAGGGCATCCAGGGAACTTTGATTAGTGAAGTGTGTGTGTGGACAGACAGATGGACAGGTGTCCTGAGGCACTGATACCGTGTAGTTGCAGCGCTGGCACCTCAGTCTGGGGTAGACCTGCTCTACTCATATGTGTTCACTTCTATGATCATTGTCATTATTATTTTTATTTATGTCCTTATTTAAGGTGCTTGGCACATGTCTGGCCTACAGTAAGTGCTCACTAAATATTAGGTACCGTTATTACTATTATTACATCACCTCTTAACATGTGTGGAAGCCTGGGTGTAATGAGGACAGGTGAAGGAAGTCGGTAGTGAGACGTGTATTATTGCACCTTTGCCTACCAGCCTTGAAAGGCTCCATAAGAATCGTTGGCTTTTAAAGGCTACTGGGGTACCTCCTGTTTTTTATCACCTTCTTACTTACCATTAAGAAGGAAGTTCTTCACTCCTGAAGGCTCTGTTGTTTGACAGGATGAACTGGGCTGCTGGAGGGAGGCAGTGAGCGGCAGCACCAACCAGCAGGACCAGCTGTTGGTGACAAAATATTGAAAGCCACTCGCTTTCCTTTAATGAGCAAGTATTTATTGTTTGCACCCAGGGTGCCCAGTAGTGTACTTGGTACTTTGGAGTAACTCTAAGAGTGGTGCATTAACAAGGACCATAAACCAAACTGTTTGGCATGAGGTCACCGAGCCACAGGGTCTTGGGTTAGAAGCAGTAACCGCAAAGGGGTGGAGAGTAGCTGAAGAGATCTTCTGGTCCCGCTGGTGGACTAGACTGACAGGGACCCTCCAAACACACATAGAGATGCTGGATAAGATATTACATTAGCCAAATATATATACAACGCTGAGATCCCATGCAAGAAAGGGGAATTTTTAGGGCCCAGACCAAGGAGAGCATTCAAGCAGGAGTGGACACAGAGGCAGCCCGCAGGACGTCTAAAACAGAAAGAGGCCCAAGGAGCTTGGAATTGAACACCTGCACGGGAGTCTGGAGCTGAGATCTCAGGCCCCTTATGCACTAGAATTGAACCCCTTGGATGAAGCCGGAAGTTAGAACTGTCAGTGATAACAGGTCTAGAAAATCTTTGCCCTCCACAGGGACTCAACTCTAAAGTTGGCTGACTGACAGCCTTGGACTATGGGTGGAAAAGGTTCACCCTTAAGACATTGGAGGCTTGAAGTCTGCACCACACTTGGCTGTTTGTTCCAAATTCCAACCATTCTCTAAGGCTGAGAAATTAATGTATGAACCAGGGAGTTCCTTAGGTCCTCAGGGTAAAAAATGAAACCTCCTATGGGGAAACACTGGGGTCAGGCCCTCGAGACATGGAAGAAAATTCTTGCCAAGGATGAGCTCACAGGCAGAATTCACAGAGCCCATGCGGATCTATTATGAGGGCCAAAAGCTATAAACTAAGGAGTATGCATCTCAGGAACTCTAGAAAATAGAGCAATCTGAAAGAAAAGTTAATTCAACTAATTTATTAAATAGTAACCACTACCCCATGACAAATGTTATTCTGGATACTAAGTATTCTAGATACTGCACAGAGATATGAGCAAATCTCCACTCACTTGAAACATACCTTGCAGTAGGGTATGTCGGGTGGGAGGGAGCCCACTGACCATAAACCCATAAGCAAGCAAATAGCATGCTTTCAAGTAACCAGCACTAGGAAGAAAATGAAATACAGCAACAGGATAGAAAGGAACTGTAGGTTGGTCAGGAAAGGCCTCTGAAAAAGTGACATTCCAGCTGCAACCTAAATGATCAGAAAGAATTCACACAAAGTTCTGGGCAGAAACGTGTTCCAGTCCAATGGGAACTGTTTTTACTGGCTCTCACTTGGTTTTTTCTGGAAAAGGAAGAAGAAGGCCAGTGTGGCTGGAACATGAGGGACAAAGTGAGGGTAAAAGACTAGCTTAGTCACAGGTGGGTCAGCCCCACATGGGGCCTGGAGGCTGATAGGCTTATTCTAAAAGCCGTGAAGACACATTGAAGGTTTACACAGGACAGGAAATGCTCTGGTCCTTGCTCTGAGAAGATCTCACTGTTTGCTGTGTGGCTAATGGTTGTTGGACGGGGGCGAGTTGGGGCAGAGGGCGACTGGCTGCC